GTTTAGAATAATGTATGTAAAATTTACTTTTACAAATTAGCTTTTACGTTCAAACATTACCAGTTAATGTGAGAATATTTAGCACGAAATTTGAAGGCTATAAATGTAAATATTTTCGTTCTATTAAACTTGTGTTTCTACGGAAACTTGCGCTGTCACACAACATGTCAACAAATGGTGGACTTTGACACTATGATAAATCTGTCTGTATAAAAACCACTGTTGTCGATGAAAAATGTTGATTTTAGCAATAGAGAGAGGTTAAAAGTCAGCCAGTGAAATCATTTACATATATTTGATTAAGTGATGACGTTGAACGCACTCTCATAATCTTTGATTACTTCTAGTATAAATAATAAAATGGGGTTCACCTCTTGTGACACGCTATCGGTTAAGTCTTGCAGCGACTTCCCCAAGCTTCATTTTTGCTAATTTAGTGGCGCTATTTAACGCTCTTTTATGCCTCTTCTTGTCCGATCCAGCACATGCCGGCGGAGTCGGCTCATAGTGCTGGGAAGATAAGTAAGGCTTGAGAACTGTCTACACTCTAGCACGATGCTGACCGGAGGTCAGCTTGTAGTGCCATTTAGAGTTATGCTTATAGGACGCGCAAGCTTTTGGCCTCACCCACTTGTCCGATCCAGTGTGGAATTAACCGCTGGGGAGATAAGTTTGGCATTTGGTCACGCAATGGAAGTTTGTCCATCACACCAATTGCGGAGCGGTGTTCCTCCCTTTACGCCATAGAACACGTGTTTATTGCTTGTGATTGTCAGGGTATTGAAAGCATTACTCCCTAGGAACTGCAACATTAATCTAAACATGTATCACAAAAGGAACGCTTTACAATCTGTTGAGCAGCTACAGCTACAGTAGTGTATTTCAAGTGTAAATATAGAAATTACTATGATCCAATCTACATTCCATGGTTAATTTGTACATGGTTATTAGGGCAGGTTTCTTTGCCTCTGTTCTAAATGATATACACTGATATTGATATAAACCTGTGACATGAAAATGGTGGTGGTGTAACAAACTGTATGGCCTACCGCTCTCTTTCCTCGCCAGTTTCATCTAAAATCCAGGCATATGCAAATGAAGCTTTTCCTGCTTTTTTGGACTCCATCTCATATGTACACAGGTCAAAGAAAAACAAATATCAAAGTAATTATAAGGGTTTTGCCTGCTCCTATGCCATTATTGGAAAGTTTTTAAATCTGTTTTCTATGTAAATANTTTGAAGGCTATAAATGTAAATATTTTCGTTCTATTAAACTTGTGAGTCTACAGAAACTTGCGCTGTCACACAACGTGTCAACAAATGGTGGACTTTGACACTATGATAAATCTGTCTGTATAAAAACTGCGGTTGTCGATGAAAAATGTTGATTTTAGCAATAGACAGAGGTTAAAAGTCAGCCAGTGAAATCATTTATATATATTTAATTAAGTGACAACGTCGAACGCACTCTCACAATCTTTGATTACTTCTAGTTTTCATCCTTAATAGGGCACTCTGCACTGAAAATAGTCAGTGTCAAACCATATCTTACAACTGTGTGATTTCTTGTGCTCCTATTCAGCAAGCAAAGAAAGTTGTTAAGCACGAAACTCTCTCACTGAAGTGATTTTCAGAAAAGTTGTGGGGGAAAATAAATTATAAGCAAATTGATATATGATCAGGAAATAAAAAATTAAGAGAAAAAAAGGAATGCCAGAAAAAAGCTAACTGAGTACAGTTGAACTTCTGGTTGCAATCACCTCTAGTAAGCAACCACATCTCCGCAGGAACCAGTTTTCCAAAATAACAAAAGTTTCCAAGTCATCTTTTGAGCTAAGAGTTTGAAATTTTCTTTTTTTTAATCTCCCATACATGACCACTTGACAGATAATAGGGTGGAAATTGGATAACAAGATGTTGTAACATTGGTGCATTCCTGGGTAGTACAAGAGACAGAAATTTTGCAATGGGAAAAACAGGAGTTTTTCTCAAAATTGACTTTTCATGTACACACAACATTTAAAAAGTGGGGTAACTCTCTGCGGTCACCAATTATGCTAATGAGGAAAAATTTTGACCCAATATGGTCCAAGATCGCATCAGCGGCCACCTCCCGTAAGCAACCACCTAGGCTTGACATTTTGGGTCACTTACAGGAGATTCAACTGCAATAGTAAATAAAACTGTTTTAAAATTTGATTTTACAGTCAAAACAGCTCAAGCGTTCATGCCAAGGGTGAATGAATCAGTTCATTATCAGAAATTTGATTTCATTACTCCTTTCAATAGTCCGTTATTCAAGTGAAGAGTAGAAAATTCAAAACAAGACTCAATCCAATACTCAAATTTTGATTGGATTAATGAACTATATTTAAAACGAACCTTTTCAAAAATAGTTAGGTATCTTGACACAAACCTACCTTTTCTGTCCCTTCCATAAAACTTGCTTCGATGTCAGCCATCTTTGATATCTTTCCTGCCACTACGGGAGAAGTCCTGGTGCATAGCGTTCCAAATATGGTATAAGCGTATTGTTCAAATTTCCAATAATGAACTCATTCATTCACCCTTGGCAGGAACGCTTGAGCTGTTTTGACTGTAAAAGTCTTAGATTTTTTGTACTTATGTCTGAATCTAAATTTGCCTATTCATTAATAGCTTGGTAATCTGCTTGCTGCTTTCTCCAGCTCCTTGTCACCATAGGTATACAGGCCAGGGGTATGGGGGGCTACAGCCCCCCCAGTTTCAGAAAGTTTGACATTTTTCGGGTAAAGCGCTGATGATTCGGGCAAAAGTACTAGGGAGAAAACATTCTAAAAGATAGTCAAGGCCAGGCTTGTAGGCTACTTTCTCTGACGTTTGCCTTGTCATAACAGAGTTTTGGTCAAATGATCTAAGGATCCTCAGTTGTTGGTATTCTGTTTTGGAAAAGCCATATATTGTTTGAATGTGTATCATGGAAATCCACGAGATGGAGTTATTTCCATCAACAAAACAATGACAAAAGAATCACAGGAAAAGAAGACCAAGACTTTTTTTTTATGGTGGCTCTGAAAAGAGCCGTTTTGAATGGCTCCACAAAGTGCCGTTTTAAAATTTTCTTGAACTTCTCGTACAAGGAAGAATTAACTGTTTCTTTTATAAGTTTCTGATTTTACCAAGCTGTCAATTGAGGTCATAGAGTATGTGAGGTTTCAAAATAACTACAGTGGAATCCCAATTTCTGGAACCCTCAATTTTCAAATCTCTTGATAACTTGAACCAAAAGTCGTTTCCCTCTCCTCAGTCAAACACTGTAATTTTACCCCTGATTTCTTGAACTTTCTGATTTTTCAAACCAATTTTTGTTCCCTTGGAGGCTCGAAAAATCAGGATTCCACTGTACTTTTCGGAATGATAATAGTTTCATTAGACATGAGAATAAGGTCACCACCCCCTCAAGTCCGAAAGGGCTCGTATGCCTATGCTTGTCATATGGGAATTAATCACAGGTTATCTCTGTGCCAAGTATTGTAATCATCAACATCTATCTCTGTAATTTTGCAAAAAGGTAGCACACCTTGTTGTTGAGACTTGATTTTATAAAGCAATTAAATTACATAGTTGAGCTGGGACATCATTAAAACACTGACCAATGCAAATCCTTGTCCTTGTGTCCCAATTGACATCATTTAAACAAATTATATTTATTTATTATTTAAACATTGATGTAAATCATCCAGTAAAATATATATGTATTGATAGAACGACAAAAAGCTTCCAAATTTGGGCAGCATTAGTTCGTTGTGATAAATATCTGGGGGAGTGGATAATAATCACGGTTATAATCCATCAAATATTTCCGCTTGCATGTGATTGGTCTAAACACGTCATGTGACTGAATATTCCCCAGCTAAAACTGGGGAATATCCGAGAATATTCCCCATTTTTTCAAAACTGCACGCGTTGCAAAAAAGATTTGAAGAATAATAAACACAATAGCCTCCATTTTGGGCGAAAATATGCTCTGATATTTGTCCTTGGACATTATCTGTTACTCAAAGCTCACAGTTTTCCTCGAGCTACGCTCTCCGAAAACTGTTCACTTCTTGGAACAAATAATGTCTGCAGACAAATATTCGTGCATATTTTCCTGCCAAATGGAGGCTATTTGTTTATTTAATATAAGTGATGGAATTGAAAATCACAAGTACATTTTTACATCACATGTATAGCTTACATGTCGATACAGCATCTGGGTTTAATTACACCATCAGAATCCACCACAATATACCTACTTGGAGCAGTGCATAACACTAAGATGAAAGAAAAAACATTACGGATAAGCAAATAACACAACCATAAAAATAAGATGAATGAAAGCTACCGGTCAACTCACTACAAAAGGTAAACAAACCTTACAAATGTAAATTATCATGCATGCATCTAGTAACTAGTCTCTGCTAGTCTACGATTAATAAATACCTTTAAATCGTAAAATGAACTCGTAGGGGTTATAAACCGTGAGAACTTGCTTGTGAGTGGACTGCTCATCGGCATAAAAAGTCAGCGATTGCGGAAAAACAAATACCGGCAGATTTCCATCCGTGAAATGGGAGGCTTGTAGTGACCTCATACAAATATGGGCTCTTGTTGATTTCCAGCCAGAAATATCTTTTAGAAATAAAATAATGTACCCTTAATTATTAAGCTCAGTAGTTCAGAAGAAGAAGCTTATTAGCTAAAATGAAATACGGTAACTTGCATCAAGAAAGGAGGAGTTTGTCTTTAGTAGGTCCGTGTGTACTAATCGGACTAACGTAGATTCAAAGACTGCCTACTAAGTGCCCACAAGGATAACAAATATAATCAAGACGTACCCAAATTTTCCCTCAAAAGGATCGGCCAAAATCCTTCAGATACTGATTGACTGATTGCCTTCCCCAACGTCTTCAAAACAAACTCAACTCCTTTGTTTACAGCACGACGGAAAGTGAAATTTTGTGTATGCTACACAGAGTAACCTGCGCTAAACGAAGGTAACCTCTGTACCAGCTAGCTAGACTCTCATTATCGTCCCCAGCCCTTCTGTCAGTCAAGTCCACGTGGTCGGCCCGTAGCAAAGAATGTAGCAAAGGCTTCTGGGCGCAATACAAAGGTCTTTTGTATAATTAAAGGCTGGTTTTCACTAGCGACGGAGTCGGAGTCGGAGTCGTAGTCAGATACGTAAGAGTGCTTACGACCTAGTGAAAATCGAAAATCGGAGTCGTAAGTGGAGTCATAAGCTCGACGGGATCGGAGTCGGAAGAATCAGAACGCTTCCATTTCTTCCGATTCCGTGTACGACTCCGTCGCTTATGATCTAGTGAAAACAGATTATCGGAGTCGGAAGCAGAAGCGGAAGAACCAGCCAATCACAAGGCCCGGAATCGAGCATTGTGACTGGTTTATTCTTCCGCTTTTGCTTCCAACTCCGACAAATTAAGCTAGTTTTCATGTGAAGTATATATGAAATAATGAGAATTATACTAGAGCCGCGAAGCGGCCTGAAGTTATAATTCAAATTATATGAACAGATGAAGTGAGAAATATATGAGACAACAAATGGTAGGAATTTCCCAGTTAGTGCTTCAAACCACTTTTTAACGCCATCAGAAGGGCGAACCCCCTAAAGAAACAATAGAAGGGGCCTGGGTATACCCACAAGGCCCTGGGACCTAGATCTCGTGGTCCCGTGATGCTTCGGTGGCTTTTTGACGCCATGGAATAGACAGGCAAAAGANAATTATAAGGGTTTTGCCTGCTCCTATGCCATTATTGGAAAGTTTTTAAATCTGTTTTCTATGTAAATATTCCCAACTTTAAAACTGTCGTCTATTTTATATATTATTGCCTTTATTAGTTTCCCTAACTTTTCACTCAAAAATACAACTGAAAGAGTGTGCCTCAAGCTCACACCAAATTCTGGGAACACAGTAATGCAAACCACAATATATCATTTTGTTGACTATACTTAATTTTCTCAGTTCAGTTACTAGCAAAGGTTGAGTGAAAAGGATATTTATGCATAGACTTTTTTGAGACATTTCCAAGAAGATAAAGAAGATGACCCATCAGTGTACTTTTTCCAGCATCAACATGACCTGCAAATATAACAACACAGATGTTAAATAGAGAATACATGGGCATGTGTAGATATGGAATTTCTCATAGATTGTTCAACCTCAATATCTCATGAGTGAGTGCACCAAACAAGTCACATATAAAGTTGAACACATGAAGAGAAATTCTATATCTCCAACCAACCATGCATTATTTTGTGTATAATATAAACATACTAATACAGGGATTTCATTAGGGCAGGTACCAGGCAAATTGAGCAGCTGTGAGAACAATTTTGCTCGCCTGGTCTGACCATGAAGCAGAAAGTTTTCCAGATAAAAAAGTTCAGTTCAAATAGTTTTGCCTGCCAGTGAAGACCAGTTGCCCTCCAGCCTGCAAAAAATGTTAATGAAAACAATAGTGATGATTTTGATGATTTTCTGAGAATTCTGACTACTTTCTGAAGATTTCTGAACATTCTCCAAAAATTGTCAAAAGACCACACAAACAAAAACAAAATCTTGTTACAAATAGAATGCAAGAATTCTCCATTTCTGACACAATGAATGTTCATATCAAGTCACTGCAGCTGTATTCTAACACTAGATGTTCAATGCATGTATTCTTTAGTTTAGAGACAAATGAGAAGTCTTGAGTAAATTTTTTCATACATTGCTGTAGCTTTCTGCAAAGGTGGAGATGATTGACGTCCACCAAACAACTTGCCTATTCTTTTTGCTCTGAAGGTCGCATGTGATTGATAACAGTTGTAAAGACTAACTTACCAATGACCACTAAATTAAGAAGTGTTTTTCCTTTCTGATGTTTGTCATATTCTTTTTCTGCATCAGCTAACAACTGTAGATGGTAGAAAACAGACAACAGTTTACATACACACTAACTACCATGGATCTCCCAGTCTAGCAAACGGGCAACTGCAAATAAACCACAAACTCCTTGCAGATGAAAAGAATGAGAACAATAGATTCAATAACCTGCTCACTGCTTTTTCCAGCTGTTCTTTGCTTGCTTGTCTCTGTCAATTTTGCTTGGTCAGTTTCCACCTCAACTTGCCCTACAAAACAACTACAGGAAAAGTGTGTAAACATTTCAGATTGCACTAGAACCAGAGAGGAGTCAGAGGAGTGCATGACCAGTAATAGGCCTTTTTCATATGATTTATTGTCATCCAGTTAGCATAATCCTACTACCCAGGGAGAGATGCCACCAGGAATGCCAACTCACTGTATATAATTATCCTGCCAAGATTTGCATATTTGATTTACTTTTACTTTATTCCCTTATTTACCATCGCACATTATGCATGCACCTTCATTAAGCAATTTAAATCCTATATCTATTAGATCATTTGTGTCAATTTTAAATCAGGTGTAACTCGTCAGGGACATGTATGCAATTTAATTAGTTTAGCTTTGGGCCGTATTTAAATCTTATTTCATAATTTTTAGTGTCAATTTTAGTATGCAATTTAATTAGGCTAGTTTTGGGCTGCACTTAAATTTTAAATTTCCCTTCTTAATTTTTTTTAGAATGCTTAATATTGGAGAATATTCTTTGTATGGGAATTAAGCTTTCCCCAATTATTCTCCAGTCATGTACTTTTTGTAATTTCTGTGATTTATTCACTTGTACTAGCATGACAAAGTATTATTAAACTTAAACATTTGGAATATATATACGCAACAGACCCACTTCTACAGAATATGACCAAGATCATTTGCCTCTGTTGACTCCCCTTCGATATTTTTAACTTTAAACCCCGTAGACCATGCTGAATTATGTGCACCAATTTTTCAAAAGCAGGGTAGTTTTCCACACGCTTTATCTCTGACACAAAATGGTGACCCCCAATTTTTTTGCAATTCTGACACAAGTAACTCATTATCTGATTGCAGTAAAAATTTATAAAAATCTATCAACTGGAAAATTTTTGCATGAGGACTTAAGTCTTACTTAAATAAAGCACCTGGAAAGTGGAAGTGCATGTCTTGATAAAGTTGATTTGACACAGGCATTATTTCATGATTGTCTCTAGAGTATTGTTCTCCTAAGACTATGAGTAGTCCCTCTTTTGCTTAGTCCATCATGCACAACGCAAAAGAAACCATGAGAAAAAAATGGCCGCATGAAATCCTGGGGGCGAGACGCAGGTGAAAGAAGAGACTACCAACTAAGCCACAGAGTTTGAATTATGCGTTGCTCTCACAATGCAAAGGCGTTGCTCTCACGATGCAAAAATATGATTGGCTTATGCTAGGAGCGTTGACAACACGTTGTCAACATTCGAGATTCGATATATCTCGCTCTCTGAAATGGAAAACTTTGGAACCAGAGCAAATCAGAGCACTGGAATTGCATCTCACAGGTGGTGATGTTCTTGCAATTCTGCCAACAGGCTGTGGAAAGAGTTAATTTATCATTACAAGTATTTTGTTTGGCAAAGCTTTTCGCCTCAAACCCGAATGCAAGCATGTTAGTGATTTGGCTGCTTAACTCCAGGTCACCAGCATTGTAGAAGAACAACTGGAACAATTCTGTAAATATGGATTGATTGAGCTTGGCCTTTCTGCTGTCCATTTTAAAGATTGAACCGGACTTTCACTTGAAGCTTTCCACTGCTATCGGCAAACATATCACCACAGTTGGATGATCTCCTATGTCAAATGGATAATGTAAATTCCAGTTGAAACTCTGCATTTGAAAATTTTACAACAACTTTTAAATTTAAACCTACAGACATGGCAAAAATTTGTCACAAGATGACTCCTTTGCCGTCGTCTTTTCGAAACTCCTTTAGCAGTTCCGCTTAACAAACACTGTAATGAAGATATACTTCTCATGGCATGTTTTTGCCTCGCTACTTGAAGAGAAGAGATATTTTATTCAAGACATCTTCCGGGATGTCAAGATAAGGAATCCTACTGGATACCCGTAATGAAATTGAAAATTTACATCGAATAATCACTCGGCCATGAAAGGTCAAACTCTGTGACTTAGGCGGTAGTCCCTACTTTCGTGTGCTTCTCACCCCGAGGAGTTCGCGTGGTCATTTTTATTGCAGTTTTCTTTCGCTTCACGCACGACGGACTAAGCAAAAGAGGAACACTTACTACTCGTAGTCTATGTCCTCCTTGTATGTTTGGGATCCAGCAGCAATCTACTCTCCTACAAACTTCAAGTGGGGTACCTTCTCACCTTTGATAAATCTTTTTCTCCCCCTCGTTTGTTGCTATTTTTTAGCTTCCTTTACTCTTTTTCTGGGGGTTTTTAAAATCCTTGTTCATACATTTTGCACATGCCAACTTTTTCCAGCCTTTCAATATTCATGTTTTCAAGACAATTTCAACAAGTTCTATGTTTAGTTGGGTTCATTTGTCTCATTTTGGCTGTCATTAGCTAGAGTTGTTATACTGGTGGGACATGATGAAGATGATGATGATCTAGCTCCGAGAGCTTCACAGTATATTGGTTGCCAGTACAGTTTTTGCTTGTATGGGAAAGGCAGTCCAACTGCAATAACAATACCCAAATAATTAACAATTATTGGATGAGTTTTTGTGAGGTTGAGGTAGGGGTTATAAGCCAAAGCCAAAGGCCAATACTGGTAACCCTTCCTGATACTTTGATTATTCTGGATATCACAAAAAAAGAATCTAATAATTGTTTTATTATACACTGAACCAAAAAAAATGAAAGTCATGTTTTTGTTTCTTCACTGGCGGCAAGCAACACAAAGCATGCAAACTTGACATGATTACCCTTAAAAATCATGCAGTGCGGTCATACATGACATGATTAAATGTGACCTTGAGTGTGCCAGTCAGTCAGCCTGATCTGATCACTGTTAAGATTTCACTTCTACCTCATCTGAGCAAAGTCAATTACCATAGGCAAAAACCAACATCTCCAAATTCCAATTCCACCAGGATAGAGGTCCCACATGAAAACCAGCTAAGGATGATGTCGCTTCCACTCTAAATATTGTAATTTATTTATTCATTTATCATTTCATTTGTAGACCAAAGCCAGACAGGTGGAAAACTGTGATCAATCATGTTTGACAGCAGACCATTAGATCATGAGTGAGACAAAATAATTATTTCTGCTCCACAGCCACAAGGTTAACCGTGACCCAACTGCTAACAGTACCCCTAAAACTTCCAACTCATCCATTCTTAGCCTGGAACCTATATGGACACACCCCTCTGGGTTAACACTATTGAGCAGTAAACCCCATGATTTATACAGTGTTTGAAGAAAAAAAGACTTCAAAACTCAGTTAACTCAACCTGTTTTATACTTTTAAAAGTCAAACACATAATTCTTTATTGAAACTCCCTGAAGAGGACTTCTACAAAAAACTCTTTTTCTATGGAAGATTGCAGAAATTCCTTTCTGCACAATGCAATGTATTCTTGAAAATGTATAGTGTTGGAAAATGTTCTTACCTTTCCCTCAATTTTGATTTGTCAACTGGAGGAGTTGAGAATCCTACAACCGTTTTTTCTGACAAAGAAGTAACCACAGGAACATGTGAATCCACCACTCCTTCCTTCTTGATGCCATTGGCTGTATGATTTAGCAAAGGATGTTGAAGTTTTACCTGCAGCTCAAGGTCTTTTCTTGGAGTGCTGAAGATGCCTAGTTTATCAACCATGCAACAGACATTTCATTATAAGAAAAGCAATCTTATGGTAACTTCTTGTCCCTATATTATATTTTTCCTTTTCATCCTGCACTACAGGGCTTTAGTTAGCACATGATGTGAATGAATTTTCTACAAAGTAAACTGCAAGTTAGAATTACCAAGACTATGTGCTAAACAAAAGAAATATACGCATACCAAACAAGAATACAATACTTAAACAAGAGTTAACAGCCAAGTCGCTAGTGGAGGGAAGGTGCCTACGAAGCCCGGGGGCTGCAACCACAGTCACATCCCCAAGGCGCTAGAACACCCGACTGGCCTGCCCAACCCGCAACCAAGCCACAAGCCCCCCGTGCCAAGCCCCCTACAGGCACCGGTCACACTCAAGCCAGATGGCGTTGGTGGAAAAAAAAAAATGCTGAAAAGAAGGGGGGGATAGGGAGGGAACGCCAAGAACCGCTAAACTATAATTCAATCCACAACGTCACACTAACAGAGCGATGAACACACTGCGAGCACATGGGACGACAACACATGTACTAACCACATATACCACTGGACAATGTCAGCCCCAGGGCTCTCACGACCATATGACTGTTGCAAACGCTACAGAACNTTGTTTTTGTCACAAGAACATAAAATTCATATCTTCAAGCTAACATGTAATGTTCTTTTTATCATATAGACATGCTGATGACACCATTTTTGACGATTTTCCAAAGATTTCCGAAGATTTCCGAAGATTTTCCAAAATTGTTCCGAAGGGCAGATGAACATTTCTGAGCATTTTCCAAACATTTCGGAACATTTTCCGAACATTACCAAAGATTGCCAAAGATGACCAAAGAAGATACGAAGATGTTTCGATCATACACCAACAAATTTAAGCGTAGTTAAAGGAACAGAAGAGAAATGTTATCAAACATGATATCTTCACATGTGAGGATATCATATCGTTTTTATCAATTTGTTACAAGTCAGTTTAAAACTGATTTTTATATAATAAAGCAATATTCTACATGTCTTCATGTCTAGATTACTTGCTACCTTTGCAGGTGCCTTTCACAAAGAATTCTTGCATGCGTCAGTTACAATAAAACGTCAACAAAATGAGGAAAACCTGTTTCCAGAAAGATTTGCGCATGTTTCCCCAATGTTTACCAGTTTTGCCATATGGGAATCAAGCACATTTTAATGAGAATGCAAGAATGCAAGCATGCAAGCAATTGCAAAAATTTTGCAAGCACAAGTAATTTGAGCAAAGGCCAAATTTTGAGAGAACTTTTAAATTGAATAGGACCATTCCATACAGCTATATCTAGGCACTTCAGTCTGTTAGCCACCTTGTCTTGTCTGACACCAAATGGACAACAACATCTGCAAAGATGACAACCAGTCAACTAACCATTCTTTGCTTTGCCAAAAATCACCCTGTATCTAATAAAACCTGCAGTGTCAGAATAAACTTGAAAATATGGGAATGGCACACACTGGGGTGACAGCCAAAGACTGTAGTCATTCAAAGAGAGGAAAGACAAGTGCCACCAGGTAAAGTCCAAGTCAAAATGCCTGATGAGGCATATCAGGTGGTCCTTGCGCTGAAAGGCCAATGGTAGATTAATCATGCAGGGAAGAAAGGTGCCATTGGAGGAACCACTTGGTAGGCAAGTCAGAGAGTGCCAATTAGTGAGTGACTCAAGATCCTCATGTGTACAGGAATGTTTTTGTGACAAGGAGTCTTGTAACTAAAGGATTTGGTCAGATTTTATTTGGGAGAGGCATGCCTGATGCTGAAGAGCAACAACCTTTGTCCACAACACTGTCAAACATGTTGAAGGACCCTCCAGTCTCTCCGGGTGTAGAGGAATACCCTATTCCTTAATGAATGAAAATAGCTAAATTGTGCTAGCACGTCTGAAAGTGAGACAGACACAAGGAGTGGAAATCTGCACATCATACCATAATTTTCCTTAAGAACCCATTCTGCCAGATCTGCTACTGAGTACAAGATATACTGGGCTGAGGGTAGACCAAATGGAAGGCCCAAGTCATTGAAGTATTTGCCTCTCCACTGCATGCCCAGTAGGTAGTGATGATGACGATGTAAAGGGACAATGCGATAGGCAGTTACCACATGGAAATGGCTGATGAGCAGAGTAAGCAAAGGAGAGGTGGAGAAAGGGCCAGCAACTCATCCCTTAGCTACTTCATTCTGCATTCTGCAAGTAGTCGTGTGTATTACTGAGGTTTGAAGACTACTGGATGGCATATTCTGTCTGCCAGATTTTAAGGAAACAGCAGCTGGATTATCTCGGCAAACAGCTTATCCTGATTGGCACATAACCTGGGCAAACAATGAAGGCTTTGCTGACCATCAGCACCATGATCGAGGTGCTGGTGTCCAGCCATGTAGGAAGCACAAATGATGATAGTGCTGGATTGTGCACAAGGGTTGGCTGGGTAACTGTAAAAACAACTGGAATTTCCACCAAACAATACACGAAGTTGAATCAGGGAACCACTTAATAACCTGTCACCATGCAGCAATTTCAACAGCATTTGGAAGTTGGTGGCTACCTAAGTATAGTACCTGACAGAGAGTAATGAGAAGCCCAGAACAATTTTTCTCAAGAAAAAATTTGTAAAAATTGTGATATGGACGATGCTGTGGTTTCATAGTCTTGAAAATTGAATGCAGCTGCAAGGCTGCCTACAACAACTCAGCAAACAGGTTACAGAACCAAACAACCAGCCCATGCAAGTCAAACCAACAAACAACAGGGGAAAATTGGCCCCCAAAGCTCTCAGCGAACAGAGTGCGCCAAGAAACCTTGAGGCTGCCTCAAAATGCCACACACATGAGAACTACATGTACAGCACAAATGTCAATCAATCAAATTTAACTGACAGCCAGTTATCTTTCTCAGACCCTACCCTTTTTTGTTAACTGTTTTAACCCATTGACTCCCGTGCCGCTCGTAACCACCCATGCGAAAAACCTCTCCAATTTCCTGTGCCGCCCGTAACCGCCTGAAATAAAGCACCTGGGGACAATAGCCTTTCCTACCCTCCCTGAGGACTTTTTGGTTCTCTTATTGTTCAATTGCTCTTGAGGACAAATAAACCAATCAGAATTGACTTACTGAGCATATTTTTAGAAGACTTATGGGGTCCTAGAAAGACGGTTTTTCTTCTTAAAATCGTGTGCTCGTAAAGTGCAGGTTATCATGGCGTGCTGTGAGCCAAATGTAAAAACTTCAGAGGTCTTGTTTTCATTCCTAACAAGGTGAAATTACTACTTTGGGATTTAAAATAGAAAAGAAAAATACAAATTAATGTTCAGGTGGCCTCAGAATGGAAGATCAAGGAGTACAGAGTCCTCAAACCTTTCTGGTGAAGAATTTTTCCTTCCTTCAACCGCCGCGAAAACATGACGATCGGTCTGCTTTCAAGTGAGTTTTGAACACAGATCACAGACTTAAAGCAGCTTCCTGGACTTAAGAAACAAAAATGGTAATGTCTATTATCACTTCAAAGTTGAATTCAACTTTTGGAACGATCGGTAAAGCCAAGGCTGATAAAATGACTGCAAAAGTTGTAGGGAGAAACTCAGAGATTTCACTTTAACATGAAGAAGTAATTTGAACATGCTGTTGTGCAGCGAAGCACGTCTGCAAAATTTTCAACCTTTTTTTTGCTTTAAAATAGGTTTCTTCACCTCAGCTTGAATGAAAATTTATTGTCATTGAACTTCCTTTCGCATTTCTTTTATCTAGTGTCCTGTTTTGGGGAATTTTAGGTTTTAAAAGTGACCAGTATTTTTGCACACTAGCTGGATTTCTGTGATGTTTAATTTACGGCGACCTCTGCGGTTTGTTTGATTAGTTTATTTGCTTCATTGAAATATATTTTTTCAAGGCTTACTCAGCTATTACAGAACTACCAAGAAAAGAACTAAGTGGCTTCTAATTTAGCACAGTTGAAATACGATTGATCTCAAAATAATTAGCTTGTTTTTGTTGTCTTTTTGACTTACAACTCTTCCTTTCACAGCGCTGCAATATTTCGTCGTGCAGCAAAGAAATTATTTGATTTCTTGCTTTCAAATTGGTTTTTACATGTGCCTTTCGCGTTTAATTTCCGTTGTTTTCTCAAGTGTTAGCTGTTATAGTACAAGAATGGAAATTCTGTTGTATTTGGTTTCAATTTGTTCTCCGAAGTGAATAATAACTCATTTTCGCACATTCAATTTTCTCGGAGCTGTCGGGCATTTTGTAGCGCAGCAAAGAAATAATGTAATTTCTTGTTTTCTTATCAGTTTTAAACATCAAGTTGACTTCTTTTTGTCGATATTTTTTTAATATTTTGGCCCTTCATTTATTCAACTTAAAATAAACAAAGTCTTGAAGCCTAATCTTGTGTGTGTGGTTACTGCGCATCTGGTTTATTTTTAGCGCTCGTGCTCGCTCTCAAATGTCCAAAAATTGCCCGGGAATTTAGGGGTGGGTCGCATGCAAATCATTAAGGAGTCAATGGGTTAAACTACATTTAAAGGAATTAAACTCCCAATGGAAAATATGTGATCTTTAGGGAGCAAGAAACGGGGTAAGGATATTTTATAAATAATACTCATTTTGAAATCTAGCATTATATTATATGAAAACAAATAAAACTGATTCCTACCATTCAGTAAATTCTTCATAATTTATCCCAGATTCATATTAAACTAATGAATATATACATAGGAAAGCAACTGTAACATTTGTAATTAGTAAATTATACACTGCCACAAACTTCTAAGCTCACCTTCAGTCCCAGAAGGGTGACAATTTGCTTTCAAGTCTTGTTTTCCCCCTGAAAAACAAAGAAGTTAAAACTCTCTCTTCCGTTCCCAAATATATCATTAACAGGTAAAATAACAGTTATTATGAGTTAACTTAAGATTTAAAATGGAAATGTGTTTAGCTGAAAGACAAAATTGAGCCAAACATAGGCAAAATGAAAACAGTTGTTATTAAAGAGCTAAGTAAATCCTTGCAGGTTGTATTGTTGTCATTTCTTGATTACTGATGGCATACCATCCTCCAACATATAAGTAAATCAGTGAAATCACTAACACTAAAGAAACACAAATTCTCAAATGAAATGATTGTTCCATTAATAACTACCAATTGGTATTTCCAGGCCTGTGTCGCCAATAACATAGAATGCTTTTAATAACTGTGGAGACATTTCGAATCTGGCATGTGTTTATGCGTTCAGTTTTACAAAAACTCAAGGCCTGTGTTTCAAAAAATGCAGAAAGGTCAGAAGGGTTTTTTCCAACTGTGAAGACATCTCACATCTGGCAAAATGGTACAGCTTGTTTGCAGTTGGTTCAAAGAATATGCCTTCCAAAACAATTGTCAATAGTCAATTTTTTTGTTGTCAATGACTATGTTTGCATGATTTATCCAAGACTGTTGACAGTGCAAATAAAGTAAATTATAATTCCAGTAGTTGATAGTGAGTCTACAATATATTTGATACCTTGACTGAAAATGTGATCCAGAGCCCTTTCTGTGTCAAAGTTACTTTGTATAATTGCTGTGACAGCTGTGGGTTCATGCAAGCTCTCACCAAGAATAGAATGCAGTTGATCCAGACAAGATAACAGCTTGGCTGAAATTACATTGTAAAAAAAGATAAGGACCATGGGAAAGCCTACATGTAAAGGCCCGTATGGCCATGCTAAACTTCTCCCCCCCTGGATGGGATGCTAGTCCTCTGCAATTGTTTACCTCAGATAGTTAGTTAACTTACCATTAATGGGTATGGTGAGTGGCAGAAAGTTTGGTTGGCTAATAATATTTTGGACCATTTTGAGTTCAAAGAACTATGAAAGAAAAACATTTTACTTATAAATAAATGTGAAATCAAGCCTAATTTTACTTTGACAATGCGACCAATAGCTTTGTTTATTGGAACTTCAGTGGAACTGTTCACAGCAAGATGCTGTAAGCAAGAGGGATAGCACATACAAGATCCTATGGCAAAATACCTGGCTCTGAAACCTGCCATGAAGAGCTAATGTCTCAAGTCTTAGGTGAACTCATTAAAAAGTTGCCATCATTAACAAAACATAAAAAAATTTAAGGAACATAAACTTGTACATTGGTAATAACAGCCATGATGAGGACAGGTCCTTCCCAAATTTGTACTTTGTTGTTGTCCTTCTCTGCAAGGGTTTCAATTTATTTTATCCAGGTGGGTAGGATGGCCCAGAGGGCATGGCATGTCCATCCCCCACTGCCCCCCTTGGAAAATTTTGAAATTCTGCACTCTCAGACATGCATAATTCCCTGCATTCTGAGGCAAATTTAGGGTCACTCTGCAGCACTTAACTACTGAGTACAATGTAGCATGAATTCCAGTTATCACTTAATTCAAAGTTGCAAAGTAGTTTGTCTTATTCAATCAGACATGCTACAGGCAGCTCAGGTATATTGTGCTTAGCTATTTCTACCTGCTACTCAGCTTTTGTTGAAACCCATGTGGAGATTCTCTTTAAAAAAAGTATTAATCTAACAGACTCTAAGACCATACAGTGTGGTACAGATAACTTCTGAATCAAACTACCACTTTCTTAAAAAACAACCATCAACCATCCTTCTTTCCTCTCTCCCTCATTCACAGTGCTATTATCAACACATGATGGTACAAGAGGTATTCATAACACCATATGCAATTCATAGAGTTACCAAAAAAGTACATTAAATTTATGCACACCTTCACTAATTGGATCTAACTGAGGTCTTCTGTAATCCTGAGAAACAGAAAGAGGTTCTTCCTCGGACTCCTCATCTTCTTCCTCTACACTAGCGAACCTGCCAGCCATATAGGCAGAGAGACTTGAATCCCGACTGTTGCTACGTCTGAACATAAACTCCTCAGCTACAAGAAATGCAAAATCATGTAAAAACAAGAAGCTTATAAAATAAGGCAGCTTAAAAGCTGCACATTAAGTAATTTAAAGTGAATTTTTGCTCATAAAAATAGTAGAAGATTAAGAAGTTCAAATTGTGATAAATAGAGTGTGTGAGTGTGGTTTTTGGGGTTATTGTTGTAATAAATGTTTAAGGTGATTCCTCAGTATTGCATTGCGATCATGATTTTCACATTATTAGCGTGTGCACGAACACAACATAAGACATGACCTTAAGTGTGTTATAATGAGGCAAAATTTTGACCCAATATGGTCTAAGCTGTCCTAGGCAACCACCTCCCATAAGCAACCATCTAGGCTTGACATTTTTGGTGGTCATTTACGGGAGGTTCAGCTGTATTGACCAAAAA